GAACTCGGGTGGCAAAGCTGAAAAAGCCCTTTCTACAGCCTCCGCCCCGAAATACAGCTGAAAATATATTTGGAAAATAGTAATGGTTTCATTTTTCCAGAAAAAAAAGAAACAAACCACATTCATTCCGCTCAAGTTTTTGTTTTTAAAGACTCCTCAGACTGATTTTTTTTCCCCCTTTTTTTTTATTTTAATTGCTGCCGCTGCAGTAGAAAAGAGTATTTTTCTCCTTTACACTTGTGGGGAAAAAAAAAATCCCTTTCTCACTCTGTAACTTTGAAAAATGTTGCAGACTGGAAGAATCATAGAATTAGTTTAATTCTACTTTTGTTGTTTTATTGACTAGTCTGATTTGTGAAGGCTAGAGGAAAAAAAGGTCATAAAAGGAAAATGAAAGGTGAAGAAAAGGTACAGTTTGTGGGGGAGACAGAGGATCCATGTCTGGAAATCTGAGGGCTCCATTTTAAATATTTTTCTTTTTTTTTCAAAATATCTGTAAAAGAGAAGTGGACTGAAAATTATCTTCAAGCATTAGAAAAAAATGTGGTGGGCAGATGACAGCAGTGCACTGATGGCTTGGAGAGCAGTAGGGACCCCAGGAGTGTGGAGGGTGATGTAGTGGGGGTTCTGTAGGGTGCCTGGCTGTGTTCCCCACTCCCGGAGCAGCCTGTTGCCTTTCCCTTGGGGCAGACAGGTTGTCCAGGCGGAGGGGAGATCTGCTGGCCTTTGGGCCAGCCCCCGGGGGCTGCAGGGATGCCCAGCTACCGCGCTGGCAGCCTTTGCTTTCCCCCACAGGCGCAGTCCCAGCGACGGGCTTTCTCAGGCAGAGCGGCATCAACATCGACTCCAAAGGCTTCATTGTGGTCAACAAGGTGAGCCCGGGGAGGCAACCCCTTCCAGGGGGGAGAGCAGGAGGAGCTGAGTCTGCTGTCCTCCAAGATGAGCTTCCCTGGGGCGCCAAACTGCTGTCACAGGGGCATTTCATCCGCCGAGATGCCGGGAGCATCATGCTGGAGTGCCTGGGACCCCCCTGCAAGTGAGGGGTTTGCCAATCCCAGCCCTAGATGCTGTGGTGTGGGTCTGGCTCTGAGCTGTCCTGGAACAGTGTGTCTATTTGGGGGGGAAAGAAATGCAGAAAGATCCACCTTTTCAAGGATCCCAAAAGATGTTGTCTTTCCTCCCCACCACCAGTGACTCCGATGGGAGCAGTGTTGGTGCTGATGGGTAGTGTGTGCCATGAATGAGGAGCATGTTGGGAGGGCTGGGGCTCATTGCCACTCACTCCTGCACTTATTGCTCATATGTGCAATAAGCCAGGCTTTATTTGCAGACATCGACAGACCACTTTTAAGAGGGGCTCCAGGACACCAGTCCATGCTTTTTACTGGGTAATCCACTGGCAGAGGGAAGCTGTGGGTCCCTGCCTGCATGGTCTGCTTTGGAAGTGAAGAATGCTAAAGCAAAGCCCACCTGGGGTCCCACACTCAAGCAGAGGTTGTCCACATGTTCCTGGGGACCATGGCAGCTCTAGAGCAGTTCCCTGTTTCTGTTTGTGTAGGGTGCAAACCCCACCGACGCACACTTCTGCTTCCCCCATAGATGATGCAAACCAACATCCCCGGAGTCTTCGCAGCCGGTGACGCTGTCATGTTCCCGCTGGCCTTGAGGAATAATAAGAAGGTGAACGTCCCTCACTGGCAGATGGCCCATATGCATGGTAGGTGCTTTTCGGTCCCTTCACTTTGCAACTGCAAATTGCTTATGGAAAAGAGCCTTTTCCAGATCCCTGGAAAATTTCCAAGCCCTCTAGAGAGAGAATGAGACCACTGCCAACAGGGAAACTGGGTAGTTGTATTAAGCATTTTGAAGCGTGTGTATTTTATCCTGTCCGATATGCCTTAGTTTGTCAGGCTTCTTGATGTGCATTGCCTAACAATGCCTCGTTACAAACGTGGAGGTGCCCAGGGACAGGCTTTCCTGTACACCGCGTGCTCTCTGGCATCTGCGGTCGCTGCTAGAGCTTGATCTTCTCCTTGCCCCAGGACACTTAGGAGCTCACATCCTAATGTTAGCTTGGGCTCATGTTCCCAGCTGGACTGCCCATGCTGCCAGGGTGGCCCAGAAGCATACTGCAGAGCTGAGACCTTTCTCCCCTTCATGCTAGCAAGCCTGGAAACCCTGGTGTGATCAGCTGCCCTCAAGCTTTCCAAGGCCACAACCCCATGGGGAGGTTGATCTCCGGGTGGGCGCCCTGGGTGAGAGGTTTTGGAACCAGACCTCCAAAGTTAGCCTTTGGACACAGCCCCCTTTAATGCTGGTCCAGATATGCCTGTGTGGCAAGGACTGTACTCTAACAGTCTCTGTGCCCTCAGGCAGTTTATCCATCCCACCCCATTTGCAGTGGGAGCTCAGCAAGCTCTCAGCCCCGTCACTGATGCAGAAGCTGGGTTGAAACAGGCTCATGAGCACGTCGCTCATGCTGGTTGAAGTGACGAGTCAGTAGGAACTGCACCGCCGGGGAGGAGTCCGAGCCCAGCCTCCGATGATGCGATGCGTTTCCTTGTTGGTGCTTGTTGCTGTATGGTTGGTTTTTTCAGCCTAAACAGAAGGTCTTGGTTTCCCTGTGCTCTGGGACTAGAGATGTTGATGCTGTGCTGTGACCTGAGGGCAGACCACAACGCTTGCCCTAGCACCAAGCTTCCTTGCTTATGCTGCTGCTTCTCTCTTCCAGGCCGCATAGCTGCGCTGAACATGCTGGCCCACGGCACAGAGATCAGCACGATCCCGTATTTGTGGACTGCTATGTTCGGGAAGAGCATCCGATATGCGGGTAAGGGGCTCTCCGAGGTTGCTGTGAAGTTTGTGCTGGTGGATGTGTCCTGGAATAGGGAAGCCACAGCCACCTCCCTTGCTGTGGATCCTCTGTGCCAACCTCTGCCTCGGGTCTTCTTCCCTTCCTGGTTCCTGAGGGTTTTGGTATCTCCTCCGAAACCTGTCTGCTCATGGCCCTGGGGTGCAGGGCCAGAGGGATGGCTGTGGTCACGGGCATGAACAAAGACAGTCTCCCTGAACTTGGCCTTCTCTGAACAAGAAGGGGTGCTTTTTGGTACCCTTACCTTCTGGTGCTGGTCTCTTGGTGACTGCAGGATGCTCTTCGTGTAGCTCTGGATTGAAACACTCTCCCAGGGGCTAAAGCGGATCCAGGGGAATTGTTGCTGAATCCACTTCTTCTTCTCTGCCTTCCAGGCCACGGGGAAGGATTCGATGATGTAGTCATTCAGGGAGATTTAGATGAACTGAAGTTTGTGGCATTTTATACCAAGTAAGTGTTTCTCTTCTCCATGTTCCTCCACAGGCATTCATCTAAGCTTGTTCTGATAGCCTGGAAAACATTTTTGCAGGAGCTTCTGTCAATTGGTTTTGTTCCTTTCTAGACACTGAAGTTGCAGGACATTAATAAAAGGCCCTAGAGAGACAATGTGCTAAGTGTAAAGCAAGTTAAACTGGTCTTTGGACCTAATGTCTCTGCCAGATGTAAGCACTTTGTCTGTTCTCATAATATCTGAGAGCAGATAACGGCTTCTATTAATTTGTTGCTGGAAATTCCCATCAAAGATTTCCTTCCCATCTCATCACTGTGTTAATGATTTGTGACCAGGGCTGGACTGGGAGCTCAGGCATCACTGTTTCTGCTTCTGGTTTGACAAATTAAGCTCAAGAAACTCTTCTGTCTATTAACAAGCTGTGAAGGTTAGCAGGAGTTCAGGAGCTTTCATTACACCTGTAGTGAAACCCAGCTCTCCCCCAGGCTGGGACCCTATCTGTGAATATTTTCCTGAGATGTGTTGACAGCTGGGATGTGTTGCCTCTGCTGTTCTTGAGCCACACTGGCTGTTTAGACTGGCAAGACCGTGCACCATGAATTTATCCCCAAAATATTTGCTGCTGTTTGTTCTTTTGTTGCCTTTGTCCCATCCCACTCTGAAATCAGTGGCCGTAGAGCCTCCTCATGCCTGGAGATGGAGGGGATTTCTTCAAGTGCTTTCTAATATTAAGGATGGGGAGAGTGAAACCAGGGAAGCGAAGGTCTGCCCAGCTCAGCAGTCAAACTACTCAGCAGCGGCATTCAGGCAGGGATCAGGAGGGAGCTCTGGGCAGGAGCCAGCTCCTGCTCTGCAGAGATCATCTCACCAGGGCTTGCTGCACCTCTGTCTCCTGCCCAATGTCCCTCACGGCCTCCCCTCCGTGTCCCTCTCCCCGAGGGTGGCCACTTGCCTCCATTGCTCCAGGACAGACCCTGGCAGTTGGATGTGTCCGTCAGGCTTGGAGAGGCACCGGGCTCACTTTATCACCCCGTGGCATGAGCCAGCCGGGTCCCTGGCGCTCACCCTCCTTCTCCTGGTGCCTGTGCATCTCAGATAAAAACCTTCTGCAGGTAATGGGGCTCCAGCATCCGCCAGCACCCAGGGGCCCTTTGCACATGGATGCACCTCTGAGCTCGGTGGCACCTTGGCCAAAATTGCCTAAAAGGGTGGGTTTGTGCCAAAGCACCACTTGTGCTGGGGAGAGCTGCTGCAGGGGGACATTCCCCTTCTACAGCCACAGCCACCAGGCTGTCACTCCCCACCCTCTCCATGTTTTGAAGTGCATTTAAATCACATAACTGCCAAAGTAGTATTTAAAATACACAGTTTGCTCAGTGAATGTGAGCCAGGGGAAGATAAAAACCCGTTTTTGGCAGTTTTGCTGCAGTGCTTTGCAGAGTTGTGTGTACTTTTGCTGCTGCGTCCCCTGCAATGCCACTCCGCAGCCATTGCATTGCCCCATCTTGGGTCCCCTGGCCTTGCTGGCAGTGCCCTGCCTGCAGCAAATGCATCATTAAGGGGCCAGGCATCCACGAGCCGCACTGGCACACATTTCTTTCTAGCATATAATCTTCTTTGAAATCTCTATTCCTCCTTTCCATACCAGAACATTTAGCTATTTATCCCAACCCTAGTTAGAAAGGAAAGTCAGATTGCTTTAATTAAACATCTGTAGAGCCCATTCAGAAGGAAAGCCCCGAGCAAGGTGCATAATCTCTGCTCTGTGCAGCAGCCCCACAGCCAGCGTGCCGCCTGCGCAGACCTGCCAGCACACAGGAAAGCTGGGCTTGGTGGGCAGGAGTCCGCTGCTAAGTGTTGTGTTGTTCTGCCACCCAGGAGGGGCTCCCGGAGAAGGCTTTTGGGTATCAGGATGGCATCCCACGCTGAGAGCTGGAGGTACTGGGGGAGCACTGGCTGGCAGGGGGCTGGCCAGTGCATCTCCCACTGCTTTGCTCGGCTGTAATTGAGTCCCCATCTCTGCTTCTGTGAGAGGCCACTGGGAGCATTTCTTCCTCTTATTGTCATTTGGTGATAGTTCTTCTGGTTGATGCTAATGCTTTTGGACTGAGGACACTGTCCCAAACCAACCATCCCCTCCTGCTTCCTTCTGCCGTGCCCACACGATGGTTTGGACTCTTCTCCTCCTGGTGCACGCTGTCTCGGTTGTTGCATGAGCCGCTTGTGGTTCCCACCCCTGGAGCCTGTCCTCAGCACTGACTTTCACAATAAGGCTCTGTTTTCCCCAGAGTTTGGAAAAGCAAGCTGTTTACTCAACCCCATTCAGAGCTGTGTGAGCTGCGGAGGAGTCAGGGTGAAGCCCTGTGCAGGGAGATATATGGGACAGTGCTCTGCGAATGTCCCTGTGGGACACTGCATTCACAGCAGCATCTCAGCCAGAACAGATGAATGTCATCCCACCCATGAGACCTTGGACACCTTGAGAGATCCAGGGGATTGCTGTGGTTGTCTTCTTCATGGTTCCCCACTTCTGTTGCATTGAACCTTGCAGAGGAAGGGAAGACCATGTAGACACGGTGCTTGTCCACGGTGCTCATCCACAATGCTCCATCTTCCGTCAGTCTTTAGCTGGGCTTGAGGCAGAGTTGGTGGGCGGCTGGTGGGATTACATCTTCCTTTCCTTTCCCTTGCATGCCTTGGTTATTCATTCCCTTGGAACAGCACATCTCTCCCTGGTTTTGATGGATAGATCTCTCCAACAACTTCGTGTTTCCCAGCTGGGAGCTGGCTGTGCTCAGGAAACCAAACGCAGAGGAAACCACTGAAGGTTCAAGACCATGTAGCGTGGTGTGAAGGTGGTGCAGAACCTCCCAGGAGTCTTGAAGCCTCAGCCTCCATTGTGTGCTGAGCACCAGAGGCATCAAGCAATGGTGAAGTAGCCAAGGCCGAGGCCCTGTGTGATGGAAACAACCGCCTGCAGGGTCTTCCCAGGCTATGGTTCATGGTGGGATGGGGTTCTCATTGGCAGTTTGTGTTTCTGAACTTGGAGCAACAGGAAAAGAGGGAATCTGCACTGCAGTGTCATCAGGTACTGCTGCAAGTGTCTTGGAAGGAGACTGCCTTCTGAAAATGAAAACTCATGGGTCGCTGCAAATATAATTGGAGTTACATCCCTAGGGAATAGGGTCCTGTCCGAGGGAGAGTGGAGGACCTCGTTTACATCAGGCAGGACATCAAGCATCACAGCAGAGAAGATGAAGGCTCAGAAAGCGAAGAGCTCTTCTAAATCACAGCAGCAGCCCTCGAACATGACAGCCCAGCAGGCAGTTCAGCTGAATGCACATGTGCTTTGTAATCTTCTCGGATGGTTAATTATCCTTGCTGCCTGCCATGGACACCTGTTTTCTGGTGTGAAAGTATTGCTTGTCAACATCTGTCTGTTACTCCTTATTCTCACCTCATCTGCTGGATGGAAGAGCTGCAGGCTAACAGAAGTCGCCTCTGCTGTAGGTACACATCTCTGCAGTGAGCTAAGGATGCTTGAGATGAGATTTCCAATGGCATCCAAGTTTTCTTCCAGAGCTGGCAATGCAGCAGCTCCCCCCTCCTACAAGCATTCCTGTGAAGCAGCACCCTGTGCTGGAGCCTGGCCGGTGTCGATCTCTCTCTAGTCTGGCTGGTGTGCACTAACTAAGCCGTGGACAAGCTCCAGTGGCTCCAGAGAAGATTCTGGGCTCCTGGTCTGCTCTGCACACCTGGGCTCACCCATGGGATGGGGAAGCCAGGCCACTGCTCTTTTTCTTACTTCATCTCCCTTATTTGTAGTGAGCTTATTTAGGAATCAGAGCCATGCTGTGTCTTTGTGGGACAGCTATGAGAGATGACTTCAACTTCCATGGGTCCACAGAGATGGAAGTGTCCTCTGAAGCATGGCTTCTGCTCTCCTCCTGGAAATCAGGGATGTGTTCCCCCCCCGCCCCAAGCTGCTCTTTGCTCTGTTGGTCATGGAGCCTTTGACAGCAGATTGATGAGCAGATCTTCATTTGTTGGGTGCTTCTGCTCTTCAACTTACTCAACAATGTCACCAGTGTTTAATATCTTACCCATGCACCTTCTTTGATCTTTACATTGTTTGTCTATTCAGTTATCTATTTATGAGTCATCTCCTGGGTTCAGTCTTTGAAGAGTTACGCTCAGGTTGACCTCCGCAAACCTCAAAACAGAAGAGCCCCTCTTGTGCAAAGCTTTAGCCAAAGCTCCTCCAGCATTTTTACACCCTCCTTCATTTGTTTCCCATTCAGCATTTGAGGTTGCATTGTGCCACCAGTATTGGCATCCTGGTGGGTGATGGTCAGCTGGACTGGGATGTGCTGCTGGATATCCCATATACACAGGGGTTTCGTCACTGGGGCTGGTGGGACCCTGCTGTCAGACGCCCCAGCTGTCCTGGTGCTTTGGGAGGAGCATGCCTGTGCAGCGGCTCAGGGGATGTGGAGCAGCACAACCAGGTGTCCCACAGGGAAATCCTGACCAATTGCTTCTCCACTCCCTCGGGACAGGGCAGCAGCGCAGAGATCGCCTGCCCGGTTGGCAGCAAGCACTGGGCATCCTTGCTGATGTCCAGGTTTTTAACCGCTATCAGATCCACCTTTTCTGGTGTTTTCCCACAGAGGCCAGGGTGCCCAGACCTTTCTCTGTCCCCTGGGCACCGTAGTGATGCTCACCACGCCAGCATGTGGGCATCGGTGAGACCGCAGCGGGGCCAGCCTGCAGTGCCAGCTCTGAGCCCTCTCCTGTCCTTTGTCCCACACCGCTAGCACAGTCCCTGTGGTGCTCATGCCTTCGGACAGGTCCTGGCCCTGGAGTGGGTGTTTCTCATTGCTTCCCGCTTCTCTCCAGCATGTTGCTTTTTGGGTGATGGAGCCATGGCCACCCAGGGCTGCACTAACTGCTCTGCTCTGCCTGGCCCTAGGAGTGATGAGGTGGTGGCTGTGGCCAGCATGAACTACGACCCTATCGTGTCCAAGGTGGCTGAGGTCCTGGCTGCTGGCAGGACCATCCGAAAGCGTGATGTGGAGTAAGTAGATGCGCTGTGGGACCCAGCAGTGCCAGGGCAGGGGATACGGACAGCCGTGGGGTGCAGGGTAGGGCTGAGCACCCTGAGGCAGGACCCTGATGGGCACTGGGCAGCTCTTGCCCGCTTGCTCCCCGCTCCGTACCCTTCTCGCATCTCCCTTCCTGCCCCTGCTCACTCCGTCCTCCAGTGCTGCCTCCCAGCTGCATGCCAGGTCTGGCATCCCACACACAGGAAGTTTGTCTTAAATACCAGGATCCAAATCCTTGCACAGACTTGATGGGACAGTGGTGCTCACTGGCACCGGGCACTGGCACATCACTGAGGCAGCACTGCCTGATGCTGGGGTGCCCCTAGGCACCCAGTCAGTTGAGGGGACCCACAGAGAGGGGCTGGGTGTGCAGCCTGTGCACAATCCTCTGCAAGAGCAAGGCCCGGAGAGCTCACGGTGCCAGGACACCGGCCCTTGGTGTCTCAGCCTCTGGTTCACTGGAGTGTAGCTCATAGGCAAAGTGCATTTTTCTCCCTTCATTTTAAGCCTTCTCACAC